CAGTGCTCTAAGATGTGAATGCAACATGCCGGCATGGAGTAGGAAACCAATGGAGAGGTCTGAGGGGCCGGCCACAATCCCAACTATATGGACACCTGCCCCTCCCCCGAGAAGAATTTATTTCAGAGGACAACACTGAATCTGCAGCTCTGGGAGAGGGACACGGGAGCAAATGAGGGGGGAGGACGAGAGTGGAGCACATCCTGGCCCACCAAGCCTTAAGGACGATATTTGCGCACAGAGCAGCCAATCCACAGAAAAGACAAGATATCTCTCACTGACCCATAGCCCTACAGGAGACAACAATGGAGACACAGTGTGGGAATTCTGGCCGATCTGATGATCCCACCAGACCGAGGCAAAACACTAAGGGCATGGAACAGAACAGCAAAGGGAACAAAGCAAAGAAGTCCCCAGGGAATACCAAAAGTAGACTTTGGGGCCAGGGCTTGGCACCCCATCAGACTCGAACTGAAAATACTCCTAAAGGCAACAAATAGTCCTTGAACTAACTGAAAGCTTTTCTTTTTTGTTGTTGTGTTTTGTTTTGTTGTAATTGGCTTGTTGGTGTTGTTTTGTTTTATTTTGTTGCTTGGTTTTGCTGTCTTGTTTTTGTGCATGTTATTATCTCCTCAGGTCTGCCTGAATAAAATAGGCTGGATGAACAATCTGGAGGAGAAAACAACAGGACCAACAGTTTCAGGGGCACATGGGAGAAGGGGAGGTGGGGCAAAGGTTAACAGACCCAGGGACAAGGGAACAACAAGTGATTCAAATCGGTGATGAGGAGGGTGTAGGAGGCCTGGTAGGGCGACCAAGGGTAATGTAACTGAGAGGAATTACTGAAACCCAAATAAAGGCTGAACATGATAGTGGGACAAGAGAAAAGTAAAAGGAAATAGAGGAAAGAGCTAGGAGGCAAAGGGTATTTATAGAGGTCTAAATAAAGACATGTACATATGTAAATATATTTATATGTGAGGATGTGGAAATAGATCTATGTGCATATATGTTTAGGTTTAGTATTGAGGTAGCAGGTGGACATTGAGCCTCCACTCAAGTATTCCCTCAATGCAAGAACACTTTGTTCTCTTAAACTGGCATTTCATGATGCTCACCTTCCCAACACAATCGCTGCAGACAAAGCGGGTGCATAAGCAAATTTGGTGAAGAAAGCTGATGGTGCCCCGCTATCAAAAGATATAGTGTCTGGGGTCTTAAAGACTTGAAGGTAAACAAGCGGCCATCTAGCTCAGAAGCAACATAGCCCACATGGAAGAAGCACACCAGCCTGTGCAATCATGAGGTGTCGAAGCGATCAGGTATCAGGCATCATCAGAACGAAAAATCATATCATTGTGAATGAGGGGGGGAGTGAGGGGTGGAGACCCAAAGCCCATCTGTAGGCAATTGGACATCCCCTTACAGTAGGGTTGCAGGGAGGAGATGAGCCAATGCACTGTAGCAACGATGAAACATACAACTTTCCTCTAGTTCCTAAATGCTTCCTTCCTGCCCCCACTATCATGATCCCAATTCTACCTTACAAATCTGGATAGACCAGAGGATGTACGTTGGTATAGGTACAACTGGAAACACAGGGAATCCACAGTGGATGATCCCTTCAGGACCAGAGATGAGAGTAGTGATACCAGGAGGGTGGGATGGAAAGGGGAAACCGATTACAAGGATCTACATACATAAAACCTCTTCCCTGGGGGATGAACAACAGAGAAGTGGGTGAAGGGAGATGTCACACAGTGTAAAATATGACAAATTAATAATTTATAAATTATCAAGGGTTCATGAAGGAGGGGGAAGCGGGGAGGGAGGGGGAAAATGAGGACCTGATGCTGGTGGCTTAGGTGGAGAGCAAATGTTTTGAGAATGATGAGGGCAACGAATGTACAACTGTGCTTTACACAATTGATGTATGTATGGATTGTGATGAGTTGTATGAGCACCCAATAAAATGATTAAAAAAAATAATAACTGACCCACAAGGTTTCCAAGATAGCAATCTTTGAAAAAACACACTGCCACATCTTTTTTCTGCGGAGCCATTAGTGAGTTTGAACCAATGACCTTACACTTAGCAGCTGAAGGAGTAACACTGTGCCACCAGAGCTCCATTTATTTCCTTTGTATTAAAAAATATATTTTAATAATGTATACTAAATATGCAAAATCAATAGTTTATTTTAAGTGAAGACAATTAAGTTGTCATCAGCACTCCTACAAACCTAACTGTTCCTTTTCTATTCTAAGTTTCCAAAACTTTTATCATTCTTCCTCAGTTCGATAAATGTTTTAAATCTTCTTTTACATGTTTATCATGAGCACGTGTTCAAAAACTCTCTATGGGCACTGCAGGTTTTTGATTTGCCTCCTACTCATTTTCTTCCGAATTGCATTTTCTCTCAATCCTTTCTAGCCATTTTACAAAGTTATTTTCTTTGAAATGTGTCATCTTGATGTCTAGACTCTAGAGCAAGTATTGCCAGTCTGTTCCTTCATGATTATAAAGAACTATGAGATCATGTGTCAATTTCTCCCAAGGATTCTGATAATGCTATAACCCAAACCGAAACACCAAACTTACTGCTCTTCAGCTGCGACTGGATAGGAGTTAGGGAGGCAGACTGCCAAACCTTTCTCCCATAAAATGGCCGGTGTGTTTGAAACTCTGACCTTTTGGTTAGCTGCATAGTTGCTTCATCGCTGTACTACTAGAGTTCCTGAGATACAACCATCGTTTCATGTTATTTATAGGGATAGAGTATTATTTTCCATAGTAACTTCATTTTCCAGAAACTGAAACTGTAAGGAAGATGTAAATTTCTCCAAATTCTCTGAATTTTGTCAAATGAGATTTCCAGTAGATATCAAGAAGTTAAAGAGTCTTATTACCATTGTTTCTGAACTTTATATGTTATTGTGAATTGTAAAGAATGCAATAGTTCCTTCAATTGGTGAATGCCTTTAGACATATTCACACAATATTACTTCTTAAATAAATCTTTTAATCATCACACAAATGATCTCATAGATTAACTACAAGCCACTCAAACCAAAACGAAACTCACTGCCATCCATGTAAATTCACAGTGACCCTACCAGACAGGGTATTACTGCCCTTGTGAGTTTCTGAGATTTTTAACTCTTTATGGGAGTAGAGAGCCCCGTCTTTCTCCATCATCTACATGTCACCATTTATGTTTTTATCGGCAGATAGCAGAATTATCTCACCTAGCTGAAATAAATTAATGGATATAATGTCAATCTACTACAAGGGCAGCAGTTCAAACCCAACAGTTTCTCTGTAAGAGAAAGAGGAGGCAATTTGCTCCTGGAAAGAATTTGAGCCTCCTATAAAGTCACGCTAGGGCAGAACTGACTCCACGGCAGTGACGATGTGAGAACCACAGAATTAAGACCAGAATAAGCCTTTGGCACGATTGACGTGCCTTCATTTTATATGTAAGACCCCCTAATTCAGGTAAGTTAAAAAACTTCATCAAGATCACATGAAGGTTTCTCTCTGATTTATTTATTTCTATTTCATATAATTTAAGAGTGTGCAAATTAATGAAGCT